TACAAGCAAGGTCAATGGAGAAGCCAGATTCATTTAACAATCATGTTACTAATTTCAGAACTGCTGTGATTCACTTAATAACTATGGCATGAAAAGTCGTAAAATGGGGCAAAATTCACTTAACAAATGTTTCTCTTAGCAACTTGGGGCTCAGTTGGGGTTGTAAGTTGAGGACTACTTGTATACACTATACTTGCATACACGCAAAAGCAGGGCTGTCAAACTTGCGGCCCACGGGTGGGATGTGTCATGCGCTGGCCAAGCCCACGCCCAGTTTGGCGAAGGGGGAAAAATCACATGAAGATGCCATGATGACGCGACTTTGACATCCCTGCGCTAAAGGGACAAAAAACTTCAGCCAAGTGTCAAACCAACAAGCTCAAAGCTTGTTTTCTTTTATAGAAAAGAAAGAGCAGGGAAAGAGTGATTCAGGTTAATAGAGAGAGAGTGGTTAATACAGAGAGTGTCATCAAGGCATTTCTGCCTCCCCTCAATATTAAGTTATTATTAACTTATTATAAAGTCCCCTACACTTTTGCTTTTTTTATTATTTTTATTTTTTTATTTGATTTATATGCCGCCCTTCTCCGGAGACTCAGGGCGGCTTACAATGCGTTAAGCAATAGCCTTCATACTTTTGTATATTTATACAAAGTCAGCTTATTGCCCCCACAATCCAGGTCCTCATTTTACTTACCTTAGAAAGGATGGAAGGCTGAGTCAACCTTGAGCCTGGGGAGATTCGAACTTGCAGTAATTGCAGGCAGCTGAATGTTAATAACAGGCTATTAGTCTGCTGCGCCACCAGGCTCTTGCTTGCACTGTGAAAAGAGATAAAATACTACCTAATATTTGCTGAACAATTAGGTTACTCTGTGCAGGATCATCCTCTCCTCATATCTCCCTGCTAGCCCAAACAAAGACAGACTTAGAGAAGTGGGAACACCTCCAACTCCCCTTACTCGGTAGGATAGCTACGATTAAAACCCATGTGCTCCCGAAATGGAACTATTTATTCCAGACTGCTCCCGCGAGATTGGATAGCAGTTTTTTTAAACGGTTAGATAGCTATGTGAGGAAATTTGTTTGGCAGAAGAAGAAGCCCGGGATAAAACTTAAAATGCTTCAAGAGGCACCATGTAGAGGGGGATTTGGTTCACCAAAATGGGAGTTCTACTACCAAGCGGCTAATTTAACTTGGATTAGAGATTGGATGCTTTTAAATAGGAAGAGGATTCTTACACTGGAGGGTTATGATTTGTGTCAAGGTTGGCACCATTTTCTATGGAGAGAGAGGGGTAAGAAATGTAGATACTTTAAGAGACATTACCTTCGGGGAATCTTATTAGAATCCTGGGAAGGGGTTAGGAATAGGTATTATTCAATGATCCCGGTTTGGTTTGCCCCACTAGAGGCAGTAACACACTCCACACTATATAATAAGGAAATATCATTGACATATCAGGACTTGCTCGATCCCCAAGGGGAGCTGAAGACCCGTGAGGAGCTTATGAACCAGGGCAAGAAGGTAGATTGGTGGGTTTATGCCCAAATACAGTCGAGAGTCAGAAGAGACAAAGGAAAGGAGGGAATCTATAGGTCATTACAGGAGTTAGATAAAATTTTACTGGGAATCGAAAAGAAATTACTTTCAAGGTGCTACCAATTCTTGGTATCACGATGGATTGGTGAGGAGGTGATTAAAGACACCATGATTGCCTGGGGGAGGAACCTCGGATCTTCCCTAGATCTGGATAAATGGGAGGCGATATGGAACAGGAATATGAAACTTACTTTGGCAACCCCCTACAAGGAAAATATTTATAAAATGGTCGATCGTTGGCATATCCCCCCGACAAGAATTGCAAGAATGTTCCTGGGAGCTTCTCTGGCATGTTGGAAGTGTGGGAACAGTAATGGGACATACAACCACCAATGGTGGACCTGCCCTAAAGCAGGCAAATATTGGTTCAAGGTCCAGAACTGGATAGTGGAAATTATAAGTTATAATATAGAGCTGAAACTAGAGGTTTTCTTATTGGGAATGAAACCAGATCAAATAATTAAGGAAAAATGGTACTTGATCCTCCACATCACTACTGCAGCTAGGATATTATACGCGTAAGAGTGGAAAAATGAATTAATACCCACAGAGAATAAATTGATTTGGAAAATTTCAGAATGCGCAGCAGCAGATCGGTTAACGAAATTACTTAGGAACCAAAAAGATTCTGATTATTATGAATGTTGGAACCTATGGTATATTTGGGTGAAAGAAAAGAGAGGGAAATGAAATGGATTTTATCAGTGATCTAAATTGTATAGGCGCATATTTGTGTACGTTCGTTGCAATAACTTTGTATGTATATATGTAAAGAATTGGTTTTTTAAAAATGGAAATAAACTTACTATTAAAAAAAAAGTATCTTGCATTGCTAGATGGTTGATTCTCTGCTGAATGCACTTCAGTTAAGTGGAGAGGCATTTAACTAAGAGATTGTCTACTAGTTTAGGTATAAACCTCCATCTGTGTAATTTATCCAGACATGTGAGGACATGCAATTGGACAAAATAGCTGAATTTAACAGAAGTGTGTTCAGATAGGTTCCATAGATTTTAGAAGTAGCAATGTGTGGAGGTATGGCTCCCTCTATTGGATACTGTCCAAATTGCAGTGGAAAGACCATGTTCAGAGATTTTCTAAAGTTAGAAATTTATACTAACTTTATACAGTGGTCACCAACTGGTGGTCCTTGGAGCACTGGTGGTCCGCGAGAAAATTTTGGTGGTCTTCAGAAAAATTATTTGCATTTTTTATATTGCACTAAATCAGGGATCCTCAAACTATGGCCCCTTGGCCGGATATGTGCAATGAATGTTTGTGTTGCTGCAGAGTCTCCCCCTTTGGGGTCTTTTTTTGTGGGGCAGAGGGGGGCAGAAATTCTGACTGGGGGTCTGCTTCGGCCTCCTGGTGCTGGGGTTTGGGCGAAGGCTGGAGGGAAGTGCCGCTGGTGGTGAAGAGCCAGAGGACCTTTTTCCAGTGGGACTGCCTCATGGCTTGGAACTGGCTGACCATCTCAGCCCACTGAGCCTCCAGGCACCGATACCTAGCCTGGCACTCCCACAGGTCTTCCCTCTGCTCAGAAAGCCTATACTCGTAGTCCTCAATGAGGTGCTTCTGCTGAGCCTCCTTCTTGGTCAGATCAAATTTGAACTGAGCTGTTTTGCCAACTCTTTCTCATGGTGGCTGCTTAGCTCCAGCAACTGCTTCCTGTTGGGGCCCTAAGGAACCTGGGCGGGCAGGCGAGGAGTGGCTCGGAGGGAAGGGGTGAGTGGAGGTCAGCGAGGCACCCCTCGATGTGAGTGACATTGAGTTGGCCACACCCACCCGTCACATGACCACCTAGCCACGCCATGCAGCCTGTCATTAGGCAGATCATATTAGTGGTCCGCAGGATTTAAAATTATGAATTTAGTGGTCCCTGAGGTCCAAAAGGTTGGTAACCCTTGCAATAGAGTATATCAGAGTTACTCCTTGTAACCCATTTTTGACCCACTGTGCACACGCAGAAGGCTTTGCACATGCGTAGAGGGTCAAAAATTGGATGTGACGATGGCGTGTGCGCAAAGCAAGCAGGGCACACGCATTTCTGAACCAGTAGGGAAGATAAGTAGATTTCACTCCTGGGCAATGCAGCATGAATCTAGGAGATCTGAATTCCAGGCTTTACCTGAGGTTTTTCTAGACTAGTTAGTTTGTCCTCTCTCATACTCCATTTTGGCATTCCCAAATTAAAATGATGTAAAAGCAAGAAATATGTAGGGAGATACCAAAGGCAGCGGTAGAACCAGAATGGAGAAGGCCGACGTTACCATGATTGTGTACCCTGTTAGATCCTATAGAACCAGAAAACCAAAACTAATTACTTGCTGCACAACCAGTCCTCTTATTTCTGGGGAAGGAATGTAAACGATTTGAACTGACAAACATATGTGCAAAGTTTTTATAAAGTCAGCCTTGACTCCAGCCTTGACACAACACATTTGTGTTGCTTTTTGGGCGAGAATATGAAATGGACATGCCACTCTTTTTTCAACTTCCCATTCTGGCCTATAATTCTGATATTTCTTGGTAGGCTTCTGTCCAAGTACCAACCAGGCCCAACCAACTTACCCTCTGAGATAATTCAAGGTCATCCGGTGCCACCTTCTGCTGAGATGTCAGACACAAGGAAATTAGCAAATTAAGAACAAACAAACAAAAATCAGTTATTAAGATTGAGTTTATTAGGATTTAACAGTTTTGTAATCAGTTGCAGTAAAGGACAAGGCATCTGATTCATTTGCTTCCTCATTAACAAGGGGGAGGCAATGTGCTTTCCACACAATCATTCATTAATAAAAGCATGAAATACAGGCATGCATATTCTGGGGATCCATGCTGATGGAAAGTCTTAAACTATTCTTTTCTTCTGGTAGACCAGCACTGGGGATTTACAGAAGGAGGTCTTTTCGTTCAAAGTGAAGGTGTAATCCAAGGAGATCCAGATGAACATCTGGAAAAGGTTAACCTTCAGGATGAATCGTGTGTTATTTGTGGTATTTTGGTCTATAAAGCTCAGGCTTCAGATAGTTTTAAATTCTCCTTCTTGCTGCTTTTTAAAACGTAGACGAATATTCTGGCCAATGATGTGACTTATATTCACATTACAAGGTATGAGATAAGAAGGCATTAAAAACCTGAAGGTGTTTTCTCTTTAAGCTGTTATTGTTAGGAGCAATGGTGAAAAGGGTTAAAGCATATGAATAAGTTTTGTTATTCATACATCTTTTATATGTGTAAGTGGGGATTATTTTATCTTATTCATTCTTACATACTGAAGTTATATTCTCATATATTGAGAACATAAAATACAGGTTGAAATGTGTATAATCAAGAATAAAAATGTAGCTTTCCCTCAGAATACTTCCTTAAAGACTTTCTTCTCCTTTTTTTCTAGGCTTAATTACAATTAAAGAGTCTCATGAAATAGAAGCCAGGCTGAACGAGGTAGAGAAGCTCCTAAAGAATATTATAAATATGCCTTGGAAGGTAAGTAAGAGGAATGATAAACTTCAGTGAAAGTTTAGGCAATGTTGATTTTTCAATTGTTCGATTTTTATTACCTGGGAGACATGAAAAACCAGTGAAATTTTAAAATGTCCACTAAATTAGTCTTAAGAATTACGGTTGGAAGAAAGCCACAAATGGCTGCATTTTGGCCTAGATTAAAGCTAACACTAAAACCATAGTGTAAACCTTAAAGTGGGCCTTGTGGGTTATAGGAAACCTGCTAGACCTTGTGGTACAAGGATGGAGATCTCAAACCTTTTCTCTCAGAAGATTTTTACATCTTGATCTTCCTCTCTGTCTTCCTAAAAGAGCCTCACTTGGCATCTTCCCTCTGTTGTGCCTTTCCAGGGATGAAAATATCACAAAGAAAAGTGAAATGATTTCTCTAGCACTACTTCATGGCCTATAGTGTTAAGTTGTGTGGCTACAGGATTCAGCTCTAATTCCTTTCCACGTGAGAGACAAACAGCTCTTGATACAGCCCTGTAAAGCAGATAGATGTCCCATTTCTAGATGTAATAGGAGTCCTATGTGGCCTGCGGACCAGATGCGTCACACGTAGGCCACGCCCACCCCAGCTCTGCAAAGGCAAAAAACATTGTGGTAAGTCACGATACATCACGTGACGTGACTGAGTTTGACACCTGTGTAATAGGAGAACAGCTACCTTCCATCAGCATTCTTTTACACTTTCAGAGAAGCCATTTCCATCAAAGTGAAGTGGTTGAGGTAAAGCTTTAGTTGCAGGTATTGAAATAAGGTGCTTTATTTTTCATGAGCAATATCACTTCACTCCATCCCTTTGAGTTGAAGGTACACAGGAGATCCTAGTTTGTGTTGTACAAAACATCTATGTTGAAGTAAGGACTAAGCTGCACATCCCAGTTCTACTTTTCACTTACTTATTCTTTGAATTCTATGGGTAATTTTGGAAGGAACCAGAATTTCTCCCTAAACAAGGATAATTACAGAGAAAATCTCATTCATTCCATTTTAAAATAATGTTCCTAGCTGCGCTAGTGAGATAGTTTATTAGTGTGGGGGCCTGGCTGAGAGAGATAAACTTCCCTTTCTGCATATTATGTCATCCCACCTCCAAAAAACCCACTCTGCACCTATAAAAAATATCAGATAGTGAGGCTGTGAGCAATTCATTCAATGTAAGAGTTTGGCATTGAGTGTCCTTGAGTTTAATGAAGTTTCTCCAAGGAAGCTTTGATTAGATCATAGCCTTGAACATCCCATGTATAACATTTTTCCTATGAGGGATGTAGAGAAGCTTATAGCAGAAACATTTCTGTTTAGGGTAACATTTGATGATTTTTTTTCATCCTGAATGACGAAAAGCGTACCGTAGTTAATTACTGCTAAAATGATTAATATCTGTGGCAGGCACAGATTTGTTGTCTAAATTAGAAAACAAGTGGTTCCATGGGATTTACTCTTAGGAAAAGATAGATAGGATCATCGTCCATTCTAGAGGGCAACAGTTGCCCAATTCTCCCTCAACTGGATATTTTAGTATCCAGCCCTTCTCTCCCCTCCTCCTTTTTTTCCTCTTTTCTGCATTATCCCTACAGGACTGACTTTACCTTCTCCCACCTCACAGCTATACCTGCAATTCTCATTCTCTCCCAACCCAGAAGGTCCACAGAGGACCAGTTCCAATGAACATGCCCCTGTTCCTCAGAGCAAAGAGGTAGGGCAAGGGAACATCACAAGATGTTTCCAGCTTCCCATCTGAAGGCCAGCTAACACCCTAGCCTTGAGGGAAAGGGAAACCACTCCCTTGTTGTATCTCTAAGGGCTTTAGAACTGAGCACTTCCCAAGGTGTTGTGGTTGATTTGGGGAAATGCAAATGTTACTCTTCTTCTTTGGAATCGGTGTGCCCTAAGGCCTGTCTTTCCCAACTTATTTCCCCTGCCTTGGCTATTGAATGTTATCAATCTAACTATTTTGCCACTGCCTTTTTGTGCTTTTTTTTAAAGCACAAGTGGGCTAGGCAATACCCCTGGGAATGAATCTTCCATATAGCTGTAGACTAGAAGGAATAACTTCTTGGACTATGACACCTTTTTAGTACATGAACTACTAGAAAGAAGAAACCAAAGAAACTGTATTATGAGCCAATTACAGAAACCCTGCATGTGTTGTTCAGGGTTTATATTTCTCATATTATTTTCAAGAATTGGGGCTGCTTCACATGCAAGGCATAATTCAATACAGGTCACATAGCAATGCTAATTAGGACCAGAAACCTGTTGTTAAGTGATATGGTCGTAAGTTGAAAACCATGTGACTGTGCCATTCAGCAACAACAGTCCCACGGTGCCAGTTGCAAACATTAAGCAAGGACTTCTTGTGACTGTGACTGCCAATTTCTTGCCAATTTTCCCATTGACTTTGCTGGTGGGCAACTGGCAAAGAAGGTTGCAGATCAGAGTCATGTGACTTTAGGATGCTGCAAACATCGTAAATGCATGCCGGTTGCCAAGCATCCGAATTGCAATCACATGACTGTGAGGATGCTACAGCGGGTTGTAAGTTTGGAGACTGGTTGTAATTACCACTCATTCAGTGCTGTTACAACTTCAAACAATTGCTGAACTAATGATCATTAAACAAGGATAAACTGTAGAGTATTTGTTGTAGGTGAAAGTCCTCCTGATACAAAATCTAGACCCGTGATGGTGAATCTATGGCACGCGTGCCACAAGTGGCACACGGAGCCATATTGGTGTGCACGTGAGCTCAGCTGTGGCGCACATGTGTGTGCCGGCCAGCTGATTTTCAGGCCTTCTGGGCCACCCAGAAGTAGGGAACCTGGCTGTTTCCTGCCTTCGGAGGGCCTCCATGGGGGTTGGGGAAGACCGTTTTTGCCCTCCCCAGGCTCCTAGAGAGGCTCTGAAGCCTGGGGAGAGCAAAAATCAGGCCTACCGGGCCCACCATGCCATTGCGTGCCAAAAGCAGGGGGGGCATGCGCGCAGGCGTGGGGACGGGGCACATAGAATTATGGGTGTGGGCACGTATGTGTGCGACCCACCCCCGCTCCCCCTGCTTTTGGCACACGATGGCAAAAAGGTTAGCCATTACTGAACTAGACCATTAGGTTGTATAGCTGAGAAGCAGGTAGCCTTCCTTTGGGAGAGACCAAGGATTGTACTTTTTAAGGCAGTGATGGTTAACTTTTTTGGCATTGAGTGCCAAAACTGGAGCGTGGGCTGGAACCCGGAAGAAAGCAGCTGGCCGGCACGCATGCGTGTAGCAGAACCCGGAAGAAAGCAGCTGGCCAGTGCATATGCGTGCAACGGAACCCGGAAGAGTAGCTGGCAACAGCGCATGTTCCCACAGAGAGGGTTATGCGTGCCATATGGCGTGTGCCATAGGTTCGCCATCACGGTTTTAAGGGAATTTCCAAGGCCTGTATTAGGGTAATCAGGAACAGATGTCGCTGATATGTAAGTAAGTAAGTAAGTAAGTAAAACCTAAATAAACACTTAAGGGACTTTTTTGTTTGTTTTTTGCCGAAACTAAAAATAAACAAAAAGCCACTTATTAATAGCTTACTGCTGAATTTTAGCAGAACAGTATAACTGTTAGGTATAGTACAGTATGCAGATCTATAGATGGTCTACTTTCTGTCAAGCTCATTACCCACTTCGAATTTCCACAATCTTTATATTTGTTGGAACTACAACTTGCAGCATTCCCAGGTCTGCAACCTGTAGAATTTCAGGCAGAAATCTTTCTTGGTCCTATCTGCAAGTGCTAAGAATTGAACATCTAGTTTGGCCCATAAAATATGCCTCAAATGTTATTTTTCCTCCTTCCATGATTATAATTGTCTCTGTTAATTTTATTTCAGTATTCCAGATCTGAAGTTGTCCTCACCTTTTTCGAAAGGTCTCCTTTAGATCAAGTGTTAAAAAACGACAACGTTCATAAAATCCAACCAAGTTTCCAGAGTCCAGTTAAAATATCTGGTAAGGTTTAAGTGGTATGCTTTAAGCTGCATTAGATAATATTAGGAATTGTGATTCATCTCAATACAAACTCAGTATGAACTGGTGGAGTATAGAATACTTCATGGTGTTTTTTATGTTCAATCTCATGAGATTTTATGATCTCAGAAAATGTAACTGTTTTCATGCTTACATTGCCCCTCACCCAAAAAAAAATCAATTTGTATTTCATTTTGGAGTCCTATGGACATTATTAGTGGGATGTTATTTGTGCAGCAGGTACCACTGCAATGGTAACTGCTGGATTACATTTTTGTCTGCAAAAGGTTTTGATGGCAAGTGATCTGCATACAAAAGAAGGATGAGAATGCCCAGAATAGACTTTGGATTATTCATTAGGAGAACCAACTACAGTTATTCACTTTAGAGTTGTTCCCTCTCTGAACAGTTTTTTTTACCACTACAGCCTTAATTATAGATACCGGTTGTTAAAATGTAAGAAACTAAACTACACATATCAACATCTTGGAAGCCGAAATGATGTTACATTTTGTTATTGTCGGTCTTCCAGTTTGAAGAGATTGACAGTTTTGTACAGGTGAAATCTGATTCAGATTTTTGCTTAGGTAAACCCTTCCCTGAGTGAGGTCGAATCAATCATATCACACTTAGGCTGCAGTTTTACACTTGTGTTCTTAGGAATAAATGCCCATAGAATTCATTATCTGTATGGTTGCACCCATAAGGCAATTCAAACACAGAAAAATATGCCTACCTAATTGCTAAGTTCCAGAAAAGAGAAAGAAGAGACAAGGAGATGCATCTATGTATCGACACAAAGGTTTGTTCGCAGAACTATAGCCAGATGTTTGTGAAAGTAAAGACCAATGCGCTCTCAAAAATGTTGTTAATAGCAAAGCTGCAGGAGTTTCTGAAATGCCAGCCAAACAATATAAAATCTTGCAAGACACCAATGTTTGGAAAATCAAAGACAAATGAAGAAATGGCTGATAGAAGATAAGATGGTTAGATTCTATCACTAATGACACAAGCATGAGTTTTGCAAGAACTCATAAAAGCAGTTAATAATCCAGGGTATTGGATTTAAGTTAAACTGGAAACTATTTATAGAGTATAATTGTGCATATACACTTCTACCACATCCTAAGGCTGGATTTCTCTTAACATAAAGCTTTATTCATTATAATACGGGCAGGCTTTCTCAGATTACACGTAAATTCCCATTAATTATTTATTCGGGCAATGATGTTTATCCTATTGACGGCCTTATTTTACTACTGAATATCGATTTGATTTTCAGAATAGTTTTTAAAGTGCTAAATTGATTTTAAAAGTCACCTTTATATGCAGTACCAGTCTAATGTTAACTCTTACTCAGTTTTATACAGCTTGCAAATCTCTTTTCTATTACTTTTCTGCTCTTTTATTCTTCTTGATTCTTCCCCCCCCCTTGTTACACTTTCTTTCAAATATCTATAAAATAAATAAAAAGTAAGAAAACGCAAGCAGTTCCCGACAATCTTTTGAAGTTATGAAAAGTTGGAAGTGACTGAATACTTGATTATCATCACCACAAGAGTCACCAGCCTAATGCAACATTCCTGACTTGGGCAGCCTCCAGTTGTATGTTGAGTTCAGGGGTGGGCTTCAAAAATTTTAGCAAGGGGTTTTCTGTCCAGTTGCTGGGTGGGCGTGGTCATGGTGGGCGTGGCCTAGTCAGCCTCCTGCATCACGGCGGGGGTGTGCGGTTTTGCCCTCCCTGGGCTCCAGAGGCTTTTCTTGAGCCTCCGGGAGGATGAAAACGGCCTCCCCAGGCTCCGGAACCCGGAGGCCAGAAATGGGCCTGTTTCCAGCCTTCCCGAACTTCCGGTAGGCCCATTTTTCGACCTCTCCAAGCCTCCACACGTGCCCTGCACTTACCTGCATCCAAAACAGGCCATGTGGGGACTCCTGAGAGGGGCGGGGCGGGGTAAGTGGGGCCAGCCAGGAATGGGATTTGGGGGTTCTCCAAACTGCACAGAATCTTAGCTAGAGGTTCTCCCAAACCCCTGCGAACCCCCAGCAGCCCACCTCTGGTTGAGTTCAACATCTAGAATTCTTAGCAGTTGTGACCATTGTCGAGACTTCTGAGAAATAAATTCCTCCTATTTGAAGGATTACTAGGTTAGGAAGGCTGGCTTAATCTGAAGCACTCTGAGCTGAAACATAATATTGAATGGTGTTTTTTAGGTCTGGGCAAAAAAGGAAAAGAATGTGTCCTTGGTTATGGCAGAACAGAAAGGATAAAATATAAATATATTCATTATAACTATTCGCGGCACGCTTTGTGTACTATTTAAGGCATACACACAAGTAAGATTTTTTCTATTTATTTATTTATTTTTTGGAAATGAATGGAGAAATCAAACAAATTCCTTTGGCCTCTCTTGATGTGCTGTTAAATTCAGAATCTCGCAGAGCAAACGTATCTGGTAGGTTTGCCAGAACAGATGGTATGCAACAAGATAATATTTAATTTGACAAAAGAAGGGTTTGGGAGAACCGGAGAAAAAGGCCTTCCAGTCACAATTCACTTTGGGTCTGTTTAGCTTGTTTGCTTGCATCATCAAAAGAGTGAAAAGGACATAATTTTATGTTCTGTTAAAAACAGAACATAAACAAACAGTCCCCCTCCAGCCTGAAAAGGAAGGAGAAGAACAAGGCTAAGACTTTGCTTTTCTTTCCTTCTTGCAATAAATCACGTTTAACTGCATTTCCTGGTGTGGGGAATAGAGGAAACAAAGTTGGAATTGATACAAGAATCATCTATATGTTTAAGCATTAGATAGGAAGAATACGTAAAGAAAGTTTAGTTATGCCTTACATATTCACATCCCCTAAAAACAGTGAGCAAAAACTTCGGGATTCACAGATAAGCATTTCTGATTATGAAAGTTTTTCTATGCTTAGAGAAAAATCTCTATTGTTTTAGTACAAAACCCTGACATGTAAGATACAAGAGCCCTTTCTTGTGTTCTTTTCCAATTGGAAAACAGTTCCTAAAGGCAGAGATTACTTGGCAAAATTTTGTTCAGTTCAGGAGAACTTCAGCCTCTCACACCAATTGAAGGCTGAAAACTGTTCATGCCCCAATCGTTGCTGCCCAAGACGAAACCATTAAAATTAAAAAGTCATAGAGATTCTAGAGAACCACAGAAAAAGTTATAGAATGGAAAAGGTTTGGTGGGGCACCTGGCCCCAGTTCCTCCGCAAAAAGACCATGAGTGTGTGTTTGTGCTCACGTACGCATGTGAACTGTGTTGTGTGTATAATTGGATTGGGAAATTATTAAGGAATACATGTACTCTGGACTAACATGCATCATACTTTTAGAAAATTATTTTGGAACTTGGAAAAACAAATTCAAGATGCAGATTAATACTCTATAACAGGGGCCTCCAATCTTGGCAACTTTAAGACTTGTGGACTTCAACTCCCAGAATTCCACAACCAGCTTTGCTTTGCTGGCTTTGCTGGCTGTGGAATTCTGGGAGTTGAAGTCCACAAGTCTTAAAGTTGCCAAGGTTGGAGACCCCTGCTCTATAACATTTCAGACTGATCATGGGAAAATAACCCGCTGTTCTGTGTATGCCCCAAACTCTAATAAAATAAAGTGTTGTTTTAAAATTTATTTAATGAATAATTCAAAGGAGCCTTGGTAGTACAGTGGTCTAAAGCACCCTGTTATTAAGACCAGCTGCCTGCAATTACTGCAGGTTCGAATCTCGCCAGGCTCAAGGTTGACTCAGCCTTCCATCCTTTCTAAGGTAGGTAAATTGAGGACCCAGTTGTGGGGGCAATAAGCTGACTTTGTATAAATATACAAAAGGATGAAGGCTATTGCTTAGTACATTGTAAGCCACCCTGAGTCTCCGGAGAAGGGCGCCATATAAATCAAATTAAAAAAAAAAACCGCATATCGAAATTGCAGAGGGCGATCCCTTGACTCTTGGAGGTACGAATATTTTTTTGCTCTCAACCTTGATAATCCAGCTCCTATTAAAAGAAACTCTGGCCAACTCCCCTCAGTGTTTCAGACATTATCTCACTCCCAAAGAGTGGTACAAGTTACTTCAGAACACATCTGCACAATATTCGTCTTGTAGGCTACGTGGGGCCTTCCAAGCAGCCTTATGCATCCCTGCTATTGTTTTCCATCGTCGCGAAATCTTACCACTGCCAGAAGAGATCAATTTAATATCTTCTTGCAAATAGTAAGAAAAGCGCCTGCCAGCCCAAGGGACATACTATTGAGTAGCTTCCAGGCTTCCAGGCTTCAGGAACACTGCCAGCTCCATTGCTGCTTGCCATCAAACTGTATAAACAGGGTTTAGAAATACAGTAGTTTCTTCTTCTTCTTCTTCTTCTTCTTCTTCTTCTTCTTCTTCTTCTTCTTCTTCTTCTTCTTCTTCTTCTTCTTCTTCTCCTCCTCCTCCTCCTCCTCCTCCTCCTCCTCCTCCTCCTCCCTCCTCCTTCCTCCTCCTCCTTTTTTCTCTCTCTCTCTCTCTGTCATCCTTCATTAAAGAATGTCTGTATTATTATTGTATTTTCAAGGATTATGTGTGTTGTTGTTTTTTTAAATTGTAAAGAAAAGCCACATTATTGTTGTCTTCCTTGGAAGTTGAGCTGCAGTTCTATATCAATGGAACTTAACTTCTGAGTAAGCATCAGGAAATTGGGATTTCCTGATTGTTTTTAAAGCGATCCTGTAAATTCCCCAGACCGTACATCCTGAAATATGATATTCTACTTACCTTTAAGCATGTACCTTTTAGAAATATGGTTCAGGTTTGTAATCTTTCGCTTTTCTTTTTCTTCAGAAATCATGCGTTCGAATGGGTTTTGTTTAGCGAATACTGAAACGATAGTGATCGATCACAGTATACCGAACAGCAAAGAAAGACACTTGGACACCGATTCAGCAGAACACTTGTAAGTAATCCTGATCCCTGGATATGCACCTTCACCACCTCCTCTTTTTTCTCCCCCACGTTGAGTGTAATCGAAAAACAAAATATTGAACTCCTGTTAGGGAGGAGGAAGATACCATATTGCCACTTCCTTGTATTGTAGTCCAGATAGGATCAGAGGCCAATGCATTTCTTGCAGCTCAGATACATTCTAAGTCCCCCGTCCTTTTCCAGTCACGGGGGTCAGGGGGCTCATCCATTGCAGCTCAAAGTAGTCTTTATAAACCTGATGAACACAGGTAGTCCTCGACTTACAACAGTTCACTTAGCGACCACTCAAAGTTACAACAGCACTGGAAAAGGAGACTTATGGCCGTTTTTCTCACTTACGGCCATTGCAGTATCCCCATGGTCCCATGATCAAAATGCAGAGGCTTGGCCATTGATTCGTATTTATAACAGTCCTGGGATCCACCTTTTGTGACTTTCTGACAAGCAAAGTTAATGGGGAAGCCAGATTCACTTAACAGCAGTGTCACTAACTGAACAATTACAGCGATTCACTTTGCAACTGTGGCAAGAAAAGCCATAAAATGGGGCAAAATTCATTTAAGCAAAACATAAATGTCTTACTTAACAACATAAAGGTTGGGCTCCATTGTGGTCGTAAGTCGAGGGCTACCTGTATCAGTGAATCCTCCTTCCACCCTTACAGGCCTCCATTTCAAGACTTGTTTCCTTTTTCTCCAAAAAATATTTCTAAATTACGCATTTTTCCTTAGTTGCTCTGCATTAAATATTGCACTAGTTTTAAAAGCAAAGATGAATTGGCTCTTCCTTCCCCACCAGATTCCTGTACAGGGGAATTAGAGACCATGTTACCAATGCAGAATTGGAGCTGCAGTTGCCTGCAGTTATGTTCTTTTCTGTTTCTAGATTGTCTTTACCATGCCTAGAGCTGGTTTTATAGGTTAGTAGCTAGATCAGCTAGATACAAATCTTTATGGATTACATGATGGCAGTCTGAGTTGTTTCACTGAAGAGTCCTGGGTAATTCTATTGTGGCAGGTGATGAATGCATCCCTGCCAGAATTTTACAAGAGTTTAAATATTTGGAATGCACCAAAGGTGCTTTTTTCAGGAGACCACTGGACTTTCTTATTTTTTTCTTATTTTCTTCTCATCCAACAAGCTTCTTCAGCTCTGACATGATGGTGGGGAATGGAAGGATTTATATTCCTTGCAAACAGCTGGTCATCTGCATCCTTTTAGGGGGTCGTTGAAGGACCTATGTCTTCGGGGTCACCTGAGTAGTCCTCCAGGTTCTTGTAGTCTGCAATTTTTCCTCTGGAAATCCATTCCTACTATTACTCAGATGATCCGAGGACACACAGTCCAAGTGACTTAAGGATCCTCTAAAAAGATGCAAATGACTAGCTGACTGCAAGGAATATAAATCCTTCCATTCCCCACCATCATGTCAGAGCTGAAAAAGCTTCTTGGATGAGAAGCAAAACATCTTCAAAAGAAAAAACAAGAAAATCCAGTTGCCTCCTGAAAAAGCACCTTTGGGACAACCATGACCTGGATGGCTGAGAATCTCTACAGACATCTGGAGTGTAAAAAAGTGAGTCTTGAACAGGGTGGCAGAATAAGAAAAAATACTAATCACAAAACAATGTTACTAAGGTATGTTATTATGTTAGGTATGTTGTATGTACTAGGCTCACAAATCTGTGTACCTGTGTGTGTTTGTGTTTGTGTGTGTGTATTTATATCTGTCTGTCTGTCTGTCTGTGAATGTGTGTGTGTGTGTGTGTGTGTGTGTGTGTGGTTATTTTAATAGATCCTGTGTCAATTTGTTCAATCATTTTACATATCCCAAACTATAATAGTGCCGTTTCTACTTCTGTGCATTTAATCTAAAGACAGGATTGAATAACATACTGACTATATTTCTCCACACGGATGAACTTTCAATCTTGTGAAACGATAGTGATTTGGATTTTGATTAAAGAAGAAGCAGATAAACTCAACACGAGTCCTTCCAAAAGAGATATTTTAATTCAGCAGGGGGCAGTCTCTCCCCTTTGTGCCTTTATCTGTACAGAGTATTGTTGCTGCAGTTATGACCGTTTGAAATGATCCACTTGTACATCAAAATTCAGGTTATGATCAGCCCATAGTAAACATCGTGAGTCAGAAAATGTGCAGATGAACCATTATCCAGTAAACAACCTACTCTAAAATACGTGAATCATGAATCTTATGGAAAGCGTTAAAAAAAGAGATTTGGGGCAGATTGGGACAAATTTATATCCTTTTTATCTACGGTCTAAACCTCAGTCGTCCATGACTGAAATGGAGACCAGTTTACTGTCCCCCATCTTCTCTCTGACATGTTTTTATTTGGAAAATATTTTAAATACCATTCTATAAAAATGCAACAACCCATGTTCAAAAATATCCAGGTTTCCTGAGAAACTGATTGTGGAGGGCTTCTGCCACAGGTCCAGGTCAACAGGCTATTTTGTAACCAGTTTGTGATACCAATCTGGCCATTTGCAAGACTTGATCCATTCAGAACAAGTTAGCCAAGATGTTAGTATGGCTGATGTACCATTGTCAAGAAGCTCTGTATTTGGATAAATTTACCCTGGAATAAAATCTCATCGTTAGTGCAGTATTTATATTTCAGCGCTGAAAAAGTCAATGATCAAAGAAATGCCATCTTTACTTTCAGAGGTAAAAAAAATTACAAATTTCATTGCGTTCTGCCAAGCATAAAGGTTTTCAAAGCAGCTGCCAAAAGCTTTTTAGAGTGAAATGGGAACATCTGGGCTTCAGATCTATCACTCATTGCTCAAGTGCTTTCTAGCTAACTTCTTTCCTTCATTCTTCACTCAAGTTCATAATAAAATAAAATGGGAGCCTCCTGATGTATAGATAAAGCCCTTTGTCATAATGATCTGTAAATTAAAATGCATGTAATCAGGGTAGAAGATGAATCTTTGTGATTCATCCATTGCATCATTTGAAGAAGCCCTTGCAGATTGCAAAATTATGGCTTGTGCCCACCCATTTGTGAGTGGCTTAAAAATAGTGAGTTACCATGATGAAAAAATATGAGCAACATTCCAAGGCAGTTGATACGTAAAACTCAGTTTTCAGAGGATGATGGCTGCAAATGACCAATGATGAATGGTAAGCATATAGCAACGGCTTTGATGAGAGTCCTTTATTGGGTTGCATCTCTTCCTTGAAGAATGGAGTTTTAAAGAGGAAACCTTTTGGTTTCAAACGTATCACTCTTATTGCTTTTCAATTATTTATTCTAGGATTTTGCCAGTTGACAGGGAGGTTGGTGTTTGTTCCATGGGAAGGGGAATCAGGGTTTTATGTTTTTTTCTGGAATGGTAATTACAGGTGCCAAATCTTGATTTGGAAGAACACGTTTAAGGAATCTCTGATTAAATGGACCTCAGTCATGCCATAGATTTAGTTATGTTCTTGTAGCTGTTTGTTGATTGGATCTATGTCAGTGATGGTGAACGTTTTAAACACGGAGTGCCCAAACTATGTGCATGCACATGCCCAAACTGAAAAGTGCCTGCGCCCGCGCGCCCACACTCATGCATGAACATGCATGAATGTGTGCATGCGTGGACATGCGCACATGCGCTGCAGAGACCCGAAGACCAGCTGGCCGGTGGGAGGCGGGGCATCCCAACACCGGCAGTGCGGCATGAGGTAAGATCTTTTTCTTTCATGAGCTTCTTTCATCGTTTGCAGGGAAACAGAAGCTCACGAAAGAAACGCCATGGAGATTTGACCTGGGGCGACGGCGCGTGTGCCAGCAGAGAGGGCTCTGCATGCCACCTCTGGCATACGTGCCATATGTTCGCCATCACGGATCTATGATCATCTCATAGATCCAGTTAGTCTCCTTTAAGGAAGAGCCCACTCTGCCGCTTCAAATTGGAATCCTTACACAAAAATCTTTTGAAAGAGACAGAAAGAATGGCATCATTCCAATCAGGCAGGAAACAAGATCCAGAGCAGACAGCAAAGGTCAGGGAGGTTTATTTGCTTTCAAGGTCAAGGTGTTCAAATTCCACAGGCCAGTCGTATCTATACAGGCTTTCTTGTAGATTGTTCAGAGGGGAGAATCTTTTTGAAAAGACATTTAAATTTGACCAGTCATATGGATTCCCCAAATTCTAGCTGGGCTAATGACTTATATAGTATCCACCTCTGGCTACCCTGTTTCCCTGAAAATAAGACCCAACCGGAAAATAAGTCCTAGCATGGTTTTTCAGGATTCTTGTAATATAAGCCCTACCACCCCCCCAAAAAATAAGCCCCAGTTAAGATTGTTAGCCAGATGGATGCATTTAGTACCGTATTTTCCCCAAAACAAGACCTAACCAGAAAATAAGCCCTAATGCATCTTTTGGAGCAAAAATTAATATAATTATATTTTCAGGGAAACACGGTATTATCTTGGTGGTGTTACAACATAGAAAACATAAACCAGCATCTCCTTTTGTGTCAGTATCTCCTTTATTGTATGTATGTAGTATGAATGACAGTTCTTTGCTTTGTCCATTTTTAGGTTTGAAAATGTTAGTGAATTTACCTCTGAGTTGCAGGACACTGATGACCCAACAGCTTATGTCACCAACTTGTCATACTATCATCTGGTTCCATTTGAAACGGATATTTTGGACTAAGACTGTCAAACAGACTTCACGGCTGACATCAGGCAATTGTCTTTTCTTGGGGCATTCAGTGCCCTCCCTAGCTTTGCACTGATCATGCCTGCTACAAGTATATGATGCAAGACAGAAAAGGATTCCTACAAAAGGTAAACCTTGCAGCTGATATCATTGTTGGAGTCTTCACTGAGCCTGGGTCAACTTGCAAGGATGCTTTTCTCCTCTAATGGACAAAGAAGTTTTTATATGGCCAATAAGAATGAAACAAGGACGTCAAAAGCTACATTGATTCAAAGAATAAGTGATGTACTGATAAAACTTTGATGATACCAAAATGGAAACAAGGCATCAGCGGTACCGACAGCTACAGTGACATTTGAAAATAAACTTCATGTTCCTCCTCTGTCAAGTGGTCTCTAATCCCACCCAACATTTTGAACCTCTTTTTAATTGAAAGATTCATTATGATCAGACACTAGAGGATTTTTTAAATTATTATTTCTCATGACGGCTTGCAAGAAATGTCCATTAGTTCGTTTACAGGGAAGTATTCCAGAGTAAGTGATGCCTTATGTAATGTGTGCCTACAAGAAATAAGCTCATGAATTGACTGCTTAGTTTAATTTAAGTTGAAACCAAGGATTTTAATCTTTTGAGCAACTATCATTTTCTCCTGAAATAAATAATAATAGTGAAACAAAAGAGTAAATAAGCAAGTGGTAGCTCTAAGAGAAAGGGAAATGCTGATGAGTTTTAAATGGTCCATCCAAACCTTTTTTCCCCAGGAATTCTCCATGATTTTTTTTTCTTCCACAATAGGAACACTTTGCGATTCTCAGTATTAATGTTTACACAGGTGGGGTACATTTCTTCCTGTCACTTAACTTTCCAAGGACTAGAACAAGTAACTTGCCAAAAGTATGATATCCGTGGTGAGTAATCTTCAGCACTGCTCCCTTAAATATAAATAACAACCAAGGAATATGAAGTGTGAAATTCACAGTTTGGTGGGGCGGATTCATGTTATCAAATCGTTTTGATGTTATGAATTATGTGCCACAAAAAACCTCTGCTTTCTGTGGCACATCACTGGCATGTGCTATATGAGCTTCAGCCCAGAGAAAAATCTGACCTTGCATTAGGTGATTTTACAGTGGCAAAACTTGAATATTTGTGAAAGGAGAGAATATCTTCTTCCATTAATAATAGGAATGCAAGCTGTGGTTCATACACCTGGCTAGGTGGCTCCGTAGCTAAGACACTGAGCTTGTCGATCAGAAAGGTCGGCGGTTCGGCGGTTCGAATCCCTAGTATAGGTCTCCTGTATGAGCAGGGGGTTGGATTAGATGACCTCCAAGGTCCCTTCCAACTCTGTTACTGTTACCTGTTACCATACCACTCACTCAGCAATAAGCTTATTACAGCTATCGTTATTTGAAAGTTACCCCACTGCTCTGTTTAAGCATCAACCTTCCTCCCCAGCTTATCTTGTGTGATATGGTAAAAGTAAAGGAGCCCCTTTTTACTTTGCTAGTTGTTGCCGACTATAGGGAGTGGTGCTCATCTCTGTTCCAAGGCCATTGAATCAGCGCTGTCCAAAGATGTATCCGTGGTCATGTGGCCAGCACGACATCATGTATCGCTGAGCAGTCAAGACACTGGGCTTGTCAACTGGAAAGACCCAAGCGCTACGTGACGGGGTGAGCTCCCATTCTTACCCCAGTTCTTGCCAGCCTAGCAGTTTGAAAGCATGCAAATGTGAGTAGATAAATAGGTATCACTTCAATGGGAAAGTAACATAATCTTGTGTGATAACTGAACAAGAACTCCTTTTCCTGTAATAATAGCATAGGAGATTGAGGGCCTAGCGCACCAACACATTGACATGCAGCCTTTTTTGAACTTCTGTACTCATTTGTTAAGAATACAATCACTCCCCCAAAGAGTGATCCTTGTAGTTCTTAGACCTTCCTTTCAGGTGGCCATAAGCCAGAAGAAAAAAAATACACAACTCTTGCTTTCCATGAAAGAGGTATGGCAGAAGTAAAATCCACAGAGCTAAGGCCACGAATGACACATGGATGGAGAAAGAGAACTGATTCTCCCATGAAAACACAACAGCCAAAACAGGGCTTAAACTGCTGAGTGTTGTTGCCTTAACATTGATTTGAGATAGAGCCCACAGGGTAGCAGTCAACCACATAGTGATTGAATTATTTACAAGAGGCCCATCTGCAGGTGTTTCAGTCATTGCTTCCTTTGTCAAGATGTTCTGGAACCGTTGTTCTGTATTTTAGAGTTACGGCACGGTGAATTATTGATGCCAAACTGTAGTTTACAAGGATTGGGAAATGACAGTGAAGGCAGTATTAAACCAACACATGTTTGTAATGTAGATTAATGTCCATAATGTAATGGAAATCAGTACATTCTATTAATTAATTCTGTTTCCCCCCCTCTTGGCTGGGAAGGATATGGTACATCTTCCCCATCGCTAAAGCTTTTCAGAATCTTTTGTATAATAACTGTAAAGCAACATTTGCAATTGTAAATATTAATAAGTTATTGAAAACCCTAATCTTTTACAAAATATGTTTCCATTATATTTTAATGAAATAAAAGTATTACTCATCTTCAGTGTCACATTTGCAATTGAATATCATTTTTTTGAAAAATTGCACAAAAGAAGGTCGCCGGTTGGCCTTTTTTAAATACAGTTTCAGTTTTGGATACTGTTGTCTGTAAATCTCATCTTCTCTAGAGGTCTGGGATTGTTGGGATTATAATCCAATTCCACCTGGGAGCACAAAATTGACACAGGTATTCTAGTATTCTTCTATTGTGATTGTCACAGGATGTAGACTTTTTCTTTTAACTTCAGTAGAAATGCGGAAAATGGAACTGAGTTATGAACCCTAAAATGAATTCAGGGCATATTTATATTAGCCTTCCTTTCAAAAGTCAAGGTAAATACTTCTACATATGCAGCTAAGAACTTAAAATCATGTCATAAACCCTTTTAGTTGATTAAGAACTATTGCTTATTTATTTCTACTCTACCTATGATGGAACTTAGACAAGGCACAAGAAGCCTTGTCCAGAAGCTAAGAAGAGCCTAGCTCTGGTTGCTACTCTAATAGAATGCCTCCAGGGAATATTTGTGCTCTAAATTAGAATAATTTAATGACCAATCACCTCTGTTTTACTATTAAGAAAACAACATAAGGATCAGTAGTGGGTTCCACTTACCTTTGCTACCGGTTCGGAATTGGGAGTGTGCATGTACGCAGAAACTTCTGCGCATGTGCAGAATGTCCGTGATGATGTCTGGGTGGGTGGGCGGAGCCTCTCACCGCCACCACTACTGGTTCGCCAGAACTGGGACGAACCGGTAGAAACTCATCACTGATAAGGGTGTCTTGAAGATGGGATTGACTGGAAGGAGACTTTTTTTAAAATGTGATTTGGAAGAAAAAGTGTAAAATATTATTCTTCAGAATCCAACACTTTTTCTTTTAAATTAATTTAGATTAAAGAAGCTATTTGCAAAGTAAAAACAACACAAATGTAAAGAGCAAACAAAAAAGAAAAGTAATAAGTAGAACAGGAATGAAAGAAAAGAGAGAGAAAGATATAAAGAAAGAATCAGAGAAGAGAAAGAAAGGAAAGGAAAAGTTATATATAAGCCTGTTCTGATCTTCTTTACAGCAGTTAAAAACATTTATATTTTATTCTTCCTCTCTAAGTTTACTGTGTAATTTTCTTCTTTATGGTCTATACCAGGGGTGTCAAACTCGCGGCGTCACATTGTTGTCACGTGATATATCGTGACTTTTCCCCCTTCACTAAACCGGGGGTGGGCATGGCCAGCGCATGATGCATCTGGTCCACGGGCCACGAGTTTGACACTCCTGGTCTATACTTTCTAATAATTTTTCCACTATGGGTATTTTAGAATTTTCCACTTTTGTGCATATAATAATTTCGCCCCAGTTACGATGTAAAAAGACCAGTTGTCCTTAAGTCTTTTCTAGTTGCTGTCCATTAATCCCAGCAAGAAAAGTTTTGGTTTCAGTTGAGTATTAATCTTTAAAGAAGCAACTGGACTTTCTGGGGGTTTTTTGAAGACATTTTGCTTCTCATCCAAGAAGCATCTTTAGCAGAAGAAGCTCCATGGATGAGAAGCGAAACGTCTTCAAAGAAAAACCAGAATGTCCAGTTGCCTCTTGAAAAACACCTTTGGGACAACCATGATCTGAATGACTGAGAATCTCCATAGACATTAATCTATAAAATTCTTTTTATCACTGGGTGTATTTGAATCCAAAATTTTCTACTGTTTTTAATAAGCATGATAAAATGACCTTTCAAATGTTATCCACATTTCCAACATAAATTTGAAATACCTTTATAGATTTTATGAAGTTTTTCTGGTATCACATACAGCAAAAGTATATCATTTTATAAAAATTATCTTTTAAATTATAACATAATGTGAATTTCAGTCCTTTTAGCCCCATAGGAGCCAGAATGGCGCAGTGGTTATTATGCAGTATTGCAGGCTGATTCTGCCAACTTCCAGCAGTTCGATTCTCACTGGCTCAAGGTTGACTCAGCCTTACATCTTTCTGAGGTCGGTAAAGTGAGGACCCAGATTGTTGGGGTCAATCTGCTGACTCTCTAAACCACTTGGAGAGTTCTGTAAAACACTATGAAACGGTATATAAATCTAAGTGCTATTGCTAGATTTTCCTATTGATCCATCTGTATATTGTAACCAAAGTTCTTAGCCCATTTTTTTCATGCACTCTTTAAATTCTTCTGTTTCAAATTTCAGTAAAAGCTTATATATTTAAACAATTATATGTTCACCATTTGCACATAATTCCATTTCAAATTTCATCTTGTATTGTTCAGTTCTTTTGCCTAATTAAAATCTTTTTTTTAGCTGTATATAGGAAAACCATTGGAAACTAAATCCCTCTGCAATCAATTGATATTTAGACTTCCATCTTATATTCTCCATGTTCATGTTCAGACAACTTCCGATAAGTCAACCGTTTCTCTTGGCTGATTCTTTTCTATAAAGTGCTTCTTGTGCTGAGATCTACAAAGGCATTCCAATACCTTGTCTGAGTACTACAATACTCAGTACATACTACAGTTGTCGTGCATGTGTGCTTCCCTCTTCCCCACTTAATTTGCTTAATCAATAGTACAGTAAAAGTAAATTAATTCCCAAGAGAAATAGTAATACCTGGTCCTAATGCTGAATAATTCTACATTCAGTGAAACAGCCTGAGAATTGCGGAGTTCTTGGGAGATTAAAAAAATCTCTTTCTATAGAGAAGTAGCTGATAAGAACCTTCTGTTAACCAGTCATTTATACACATTACAATTTATTGCTCCCCAACGCATTTTGTAGCTCAGTTCTTCTTGAGCAAACGATCAAAAGGCAAATGGTTCAATGAATTTCAGCAAAGAAGAATGCTAAAAGTGTGCTTTTCATGAGAATGGTAGCAAATTGTTATTTTATCTCGTCGTGCACTGCTAAGAGTCGCTTTTGGTGAGATGGGCAGCCGTATACGGTTGATTAATAAATAAGACAAATAAATAACAATTGCCTCTGAAAAAATGCAGGTAGTCCTTAAGTCCAGAATTTATGTTGCTAAGTGAGCAATTTGTTAAGTGAGTTTTGCCCCATTTTATGACTTTTCTTGCCACGTTTGTTAAGCGAACCACTGCAGTTGTTAAATTAGTAGCAAGGATACATGACTATGGGACACTGCAACTGTCATAAATGTGAGTCAGTTGTCAAACATCCGAATGTAAATCATGTGAGCATGGGGATGCTGCAATAGTCATAAGTGTGAAAAATGGTCATAAATCACTTTTTTCAGTGCTGTTGTAACTTCAAACAGTCACTAAATGATCTGTTATAAGTCGAGGACTACATGAAATCTATTTCTGAATGCATATCTTATCTAGATCCGTTCCAGTCGGGTTTCAGGTCTGGGCACAGCACGGAAACGGCATTGGTCGCATTGGTTGATGATCTCTGGAGGGCTCGGGACAGGGGTTGCTCCTCTGTTCTGGTCCTGTTAGAGCTCTCAGCAGCTTTTGATACCATCGACCATGGTATCACGCTGCACCGGCTGGAAGAGTTGGGGGTGGGAGGCACCGTATTGCGGTGGTTCTCCTCCTTTCTCTCCGACCGGTCGCAGTTTGTGTTGGCAGGGGGGCAGAGGTCGACCTCGAAGCCTCTTGTCTGTGGAGTGCCGCAGGGATCGGTCCTCTCGCCCCTTCTGTTCAACATTTATGTGAAGCCGCTGGGCGAGATCATCCGTGGCTTCGGGGTGAGATACCATCAGTACGCTGATGACACCCAGCTGTACATCTCCACCCCAGGCCACCCCAACGATGCCCTTGGAAGTGATGTCTCAGTGCCTGGAGGCTGTGCGGATCTGGATGGGGAGGAACAGGCTCAAGCTCAACCCTTCCAAGACTGAGTGGCTGTGGCTCCCGGCATCCCGATATAGTCAGTTGACTCCATCACTGACTATTGGGGGCGAGTCCTTGGCCCCCACAGAAAGGGCTCGCAATCTGGGAGTCCTCCTGGATATGCAGCTGTCCTTGGAGGAACATCTGACGGCTGTAACCAGGGGGACCTTTTATCAGGTTCGCCTGATTCGCCAGTTGCGGCCCTTTCTTGATCGGGATTCCCTGTGCACAGTCACTCACGCCCTCGTCACCTCTCGCCTTGAGTACTGCAATGCTCTCTACATGGGGCTCCCCTTGAGGGGCACCCGGAGGCTCCAGCTGGTCCAGAACGCAGCAGCGCGGGTAGTGATGGGAACAGCATTGGCTCCCGGTGGTCTTCCGGGTGCGCTTCAAGGTGTTGGTTATCACCTTTAAAGCGCTCCATGGCATAGGGCCTAGCTATCTTCAAGACCGCCTGCTGCTACCGACGACCTCCCAGCGACCCGTGCGCTCCCACAGAGAGGGCCTCCTCAGGGTGCCATCAGCCAAACAATGTAGGCTGGTGACCCCCAGGGGGAGAGCCTTCTCTGTGGGGGCACCTACCCTCTGGAATCAGCTGCCCCCAGAGATAAGGAGAATCCAAGACCTCAGTGCCTTCCGCCGTGCCCTTAAAACCCACTTTTTCCAGCAAGCCGGGCTGGCTTAGGAAGAAATTTTTTAAAATTTTTAAATGTTTAATTGGTTTGTGGTTTTTTTAAATTTTGGGCCAAATTTATATAGATTTTAATTGTTTTTAATATTTGTATTTCATGTTTTTAATTCTGGCTGTGCACCGCCCTGAGTCCTCAGGGAGAAGGGCGGTATATAAATTGAAAATAAATAAATAAATAAATAAATATGACAGAAATAAATTTGATACCAATATCTTATTTTTATTTCTTTAAAAAAAATGGTTCTCTGTTGCTCATTCCTGCATTCAGTGCCTCTTGCTTTCCCTGTATCCTATCTCTTCTGGTGTTAAAATATATGGATAATTAGCATATTTCTTTCAGCTATGTTTTGGCTATACATGCTAGCTGAATATTTTGTGACTTGCTGGATTCTGAAATTAGGTATTAAAAGTTCCCAAGATTTGCCATTTTTAGAAGAAAAATGTCTCATTA